GCCACCACAAGGGTGAAGAGCTAGTAGAAAGAGATGCTTTCCCAGTGTAGTTTTAGTCCTTTTGTATTGAATTCTTTTTCTTTAAATACATTTGCTTTATTAAAAAATATATTTACAAGCATTTGACTAAAAAATAAAAATCCATAGTAATTGTCAAGTCAACTTTACAGAGATCACATACTGCATCGTAACAGCACACTTATAAATTTCCTTTTAGTTTGGTTTATTCAAGGTAATTTCGAATATATGTAACTCATTGAAAAATTCTGTAGAGATCCACCTTCAGGCTGCTGCAGTCAGTCACAGATGTTTTAATTTACTGTAAGGTTTGTGCATGCCCTGTAATTGGGTCCTTATGTACTACACCAACCTTAAGGGGTGAAAAAAGAAAGATGATGTCCTGTTCCTGTGCTGATCTGAGCTCTAACCAACATAATTGATGTTGACAGAGTCCTAATGGATGCCTTTCCCCACTGTGAGGCTGCAGGACCACAGCCTGACTGACACAACCCCGACATCAAACTCGAATCTAGCTGAGCTGCCATCCTGTTTTGGTACTGTAGGAACCCCCCCAGCCACTGCATTTACAGTCTCTGCACTGCTCTTGTCATTTTACCAAGCACAAAGTAGGAATGAAGACCTAAATCACTGCAACCTTCTCCTCTAGTGGAAAAAAAAGCACAAAGTATCACAACTTGCATTCACTCTGTATGGAAATAAAATACCCAGCGTTGGTCTACATAATTACAACCACAATTTAGAGAGACAAAAAGGACAGTCCACTATCTAGGACAGGTCATTTCTCCATTCTGCAGTTTTTCTGACAATGCAAAACCAGTTTTTAGTTGTGCCACCAGGACATTAGGAGAGCAATATTCCAGCACCCGATGGAATGGCATTCGATCCAACAAGCCAACCCAGCACATGTTTGACAAACGTGAGCTGCCTGCTCCACAGAGCTGCCTGCTCCACACCACTGGTACCACCGTATCCCAGACACAAAGCAGACAGCTTCTGCTCTGGTAATAGGGGGCACTGACAACTGGGTCGTGTCAATCCACTGCAACTATTACAGGGGCAAAACACCGACAGCACTCAGAACCATTGGTTACTCTCAAAACAGATTTGGAGGAAGCTGTCTCAATGGTCTACCCTGTAAGTTACGCACCAATAGAGAGTCTAACTGCATAGAGCACCAGCCATGGGAAAACCACAGGAAAGAAGATTAGTTTAGACCAGAACTCAGAAACCACTGTACAAAAGAAAGGGTCTAGAAACAAACATGAAAACAGGAAGCAAAGTGACCTGGGTCTGCCCCAGCCTACCAGTATTGAAGGCTCTGATGTCCAGAATCAGTTGTTTTCCCTGCTGTTTGTCTTCCTTCTGTATAAACTTCAGATGTGACAACCATTAGCCCTGAAACAACTGCCTTGGGACTTGCTCTTACAAGGATGGATGGACTTGCATTAAGACTCTTGACACATATGACACCCATCATCTCCACTTCACCGTGGCTGCAGAAATCGCTGCTTATGAAGCAGCTCCAGACCTTCTGCAACACAGTCTGTTAAAGTAAACCAGCATCAATTTTCGCCTGACCTGAAGTACTGGGCTGCCAAGTGCCGCAAGCAATGCCTGAACCCTTTCAGCTCAAGCGGATAGTAATCTTGTCAGACATCCCCGCGTGCTCTGTGTGTGACACTGAGTGAGAACCTACAGAAAACCCTCTGAACTTGGGCATTCCCTGCTTGCTTCAGTGCAGAATCAGCCACAAATCACAGGTCTCGCTTCAAATTGCTTCAGTTCTAGGTATGGACAAGAAGGAAAAGGTATCATGCTTATACAGGAGCTAGGCTCTGCCCTACAGCAGAAGGTTAAAAAAAAATAAATAAGGAAGATATGTCCCACTTATGCAATCATGCATTTATGTTACTGTTTCACTTTTCTAAATAAAGTTAGGATGTGGAAGAAGAAACACTTTCAACACTCTCTTCTTAGGAAAGCAGTAGCATGTTTTAACACAAGCAGCCCTCTTCGTCAAACCTGTGTGCTGCTTGCTAACAGAGAATCATAAGCTCACAACAGCCTAGAACATTCGTTCCCACACCAAATGCTTCAAGAGACAGCTTCCATCATCCATGGGTGGGGCATTTGCCAAAGTCTAAATGTATGAATTCTCATTTTCATATTATATGCATATGAAAATGATATGCACATAATGAAAATGACATGTATATTACATATACATGTCTACACATTATACACACACATCATAGCCATTCTATGATGATTCATTTTCATTCCATGATCTGACTCAAATTACGAAGCAACATCACCAAAATTTGCATCAGGAAGCTTGGAGGGGATCAGAATTTGGAAACTCAATTCTACAGTCTGATGAAAAAGAAAATAAGCACATCGCTTTCAGAAAATAACTTTCTACGTGAAACAAGACTACATTACTACCACACTGCGTAACAGTGAGAATCAACAAACCTCTGAAATATGTGTTATCTTAGGGTAACAGATTCAGCGCAAGGGAAGATGTTCAATAGGAAGGACCTCACAATAGCTAAGAAGAAGAAAAATAGTAAATACAGATCTACTAAGTATGTAGTGACACAACAAATAGTTTGAATTTAAAGCAGCAGTAAGTTTTCTTAACAACGTTCTGAAATTTCTCAGGTAGTGATTACTGCTTTGTTGAGTCAGCACGTGGGTTATGTTCTAGTACTTGGGTCACTTTTATCAAAGCATCAGTTTTACATACTGGTATCAGTCATACTGACTTCTGCTGTGAGGCAGAACTGAAACCATGCTTGCACTGACAGTGTATTACAAGTATTTCCTTAAATATTTGCATTTCTGTTTCATCAAAAGCTCTAGTTCAGAATCAAGTATCTCTTCAGTTTAATACTATTCAGGAATAATTTATTTGTATTTATTTATATTTATATATTATTTAGGAATAATAAATTAGAGGAGTATAAAAATTTACAGCTATAATTTATTTGAAAGCAGATCATGATGAACTCACAGAATCTGAACAATTTTGTTGGTGGTTGTGATAGAAGAGAATTTTGCCTTGGCTTTGGAGATGGCCTTTGTGACAAGCTTAAATTAACGTCTCTACAAGCTGAAGCTGGCAGGAGTTAAAATATTAGGCTACTTAAACTACCTGGTTCCTGTTGGCCTGCACTGCAGCTCGCATTCTGTAAAAGTTTCTATATGCATTTTGGTATTGGCTCTAAGCTTTGCAACAGCTGCTTGCTGTAGCTTAAGTGCTTTTTAAAGCACTCCTCAAACTTCTTTAGCTCCTGGAATCCCTCTTGCACAAATGTTATCTCCAAATTAATTGGAAAATTAACTTGCTCTTTTGATAAAAAGTAATTTACTCTCCTGTATACCTACCTTCTCTAAATAAAGCTCATTTTGGTGAAAAAGTCAGTTTCATATTTCAGCTGAAGTTCCTCCAAGACCTTAGCTCTACACACAATTCTTATTAAGCATACAATATCAGGCTTTAGCAATAAAGAGCCTAAATTGATTGCAGCAAAACAAGCTACACTCAGACCCAAAGGCATGCACTCACAGGAGGCTGAAAAAGCCATTTGGAGCCACAGGTTTCTGTACTACATGCAAACGAGTTTAAAGACAAAAAAAAGATAGTAACAAAATCAAAGTTTTCTTTGTTGTTGTTGTTTTGTTCCTTTTTTATTATTTAAATAGGAAGAAAGAAAAAGAAACTGTTCAATATACACAGAAGAAACTAAATCATAACTAATCTCTATTTTTTTTTTAGCCACAAGCCAGGAAATTACTCACTCTATGCAAACTGAAAAAATATATACATCTATATATAGATCGGTAGAAGGCTCACAGAGCTTTAAAATATTCTTACATTAAAATCAGATAATTAAGCCATAAAATGGTCTGGATTAGAAGGGTGGTTGAACACTGGAACAGGCTCCCCAGGGAAGTGGTCACTGCACCGAGCCTGTCTGAATTTAAGAAGAGATTGGACTGTGCACTTAGTCACATGGTCTGAACTTTTGGGTAGACCTGTGCGGTGTCAAGAGTTGGACTTGATGATCCTTAAGGGTCCCTTCCAACTCAGGATATTCTATGATTCTATGAGATCATCTTGTTCCAACCCCCTGCCCTGGGCAGGGCCATCCCCCCAGCCCAGGCTGCCCCCAGCCCCATCCAGCCTGGCCTCAGCACTGCCAGGGATGGGGCAGCCTGGGCCAGGGCCAGGGCCTCACCACCCTCTGAGGGAAGAATTTCCTCCCAGCATCTAATCTAAAGCTACCCTCTTTTAGTTTAAAGTGATTCCCCCTTGTACTATCACCGCACTCCCTCCCCAGCTCTCTTTTTTCTCTTCAGCCCCCTTTAGGTACGGGAAGGCCGCTGTAAGATCTCCCCGGAGCCTTCTCTCCTCCAGGCCAAACAAGCCCAACTCCCTCAGCCTCTCCATAGGAGAGGTGCCCCAGCCCTCTTATCAGCAAATGACCACCCTCTGGATTGATCTATGATTAATTCATGTGAAGCAGAGACCGTGATTTATCTTTTCTTAAATAAACCTACGGATAAGCCAATTCAACTGTTAAAAGTTTCCTAATGCAAGGGCACAAATAAGGAGAAGTTCCAACATCTTTCACAGCAGTTTTCTCAATCCTGTCTAGGCTGATGCAATATAAAATATAAATTGCATCAAGTTTTACCCAAATGGTTTTATTTCATGGAAGGACTAAGACACTTTCAATTACTTAATTGCACTACAGAACTAAGAATTTCTGAAATAGCCTTATTTGAAAAGATTCTAGATTATATGGATCCCTACATGGCACACAAAACTGTTTTAACTCTTACATTTGCTTTCCTATTTTTGAAAACAAGTATTTAAATACACAAAAAATGCTTGAGTGACATGTAAGCATGGCTACTTTTTAAAACATATCCATAGAGAGATGCAGACAAGACAAGGAGGACACACTTACAGAACTGTAGACTGAGGCTCAAAAAGGCAAGTAAGGCTGCCAAAGCCAGCAAGAACAGAAAACGGTTTCGGAAAAGCATTATTATTCGTTCTGCTTTCTCTTCATGGTTTCATCTTCACGTGTCAACAATTTCTGCAAACAACAAACAACAAAACATTGGCAAATATACTTCAGATGTCGGAGTATCAGCTAAATCAAAGCAAATTCAAATATCCTTTTGACTGCGTCAATTTACTTCTTAGAGGCAAACACGAGCTGATTCAAACTGCAAACAACAGCATCAAGAAGTTGTCTTGACCCAGTTATGAGATTACATTTCCACAATGCAAAACTTCCAAGTAAATAAAACTCTGCCTTTTCCCATCAAATTCTTTTCTCTTGCTAACACAGGGTTAATGCTCATATCAGAACATTGGCAACAATTAACAGAAGCCTCTTACCCCTAAAGAGAGCATTTCACAACAAGAACATTTCTACCTAAGGGCTGTCAAGAGAAGTTTTGTTAAATTATTGCAAGGGAAAACAAAACATACAAAAAAAAAACATACATTAAACAGTTAGATCCCTTCTCCCTTTTAAATAAAGGTTAAAAAATAGGTTCTCTAACTGGCAGCCCTTTTACAAAGTTCACAATTCTTATTTAATAGAATAAAAAATAAGAAAAAAATGCCAGTAGCACTACACAGAGAATAGAAAAGTATATCAATTTAGGAATAACACCTTCAGTAATTCTGGAATATTTTTAAATAGCTGTTTTGATGAAGATCAGAATAATATATTTCATATCAATAGATATTTAGTCACACTTCAGAACTCAACTAACTTGTTGCAAATGTTAAAACAAACAAAACACTCTCTCCTGAAAATACCCAAATATGTAAAGCGCACAGAATTTGCTGAGGTGCTCTATTTTGACATGCACACATTTTCCCGTTGGAAAATGGTCCCAGATAAGGAAGAGGGGGGTGTTGGGGTTCTCCTCTTCCTCTTTATCTTAAGGGAAGGAAAAAAAAAGGAAGGTGAGATGCTCTTTTGTGTGAAAGATGCCTTTTCCTAATACTGACAGCATGTTCATGAAATCTGAGATTCTGTGGTCCTTTGAATCGAGTTGTTTATGACAGTACATCCAAATCAGTTGACAGAAATTAACTTTTTACTTTACTCCAAAGATTTTTCTCATTAGTATTTGAAAATGTCTCATGAATCACTGAATTTCTTGTTTTATCTATTGTGGTTAGTCCTAAGAAGAATTATTGATCTATGAATTGAGCCAAAGCAATACCTCAGTATTAAGCAATTATTATTACCTTAGTATTAAGCAATAGGACCCAGAGTGTAAGCAGTGATCTTTCGGAAATGAAAGAAGTGGCACTAGTGGTGAAATGTTACAGACATGTACATTTTACTGGATTGAGGTCTCTGTCTCATTTTACTTGGAGAAATATCTTCACAGTTTTTGGAAACTGGAAAAACTGAAAGAACTGGAGGTTCTGAGATGAGAAGTAAGAAGCCAGAACTATTACAGTATTTTTCCAAAATGCCAAGAGCGCCATAGTTGGCATGTGCAAGCCATAATAAAAGAAAAAAAAAAAAGTCAAAAAAGAGACAGAAGGAATGACTTTAGCAGTGTCAGTTTCACTAAATCATAGCTCATCGGGGAACATCTCAGTGAAAGGTATGCTGAATCTAAACTGCACGAAGCCACTGAAACTAAACAAAGCTGTGAAGGGTGGAAGGTATAAGGGGCTTGGTGAATACAAAACACTAGGAGAGAATGAAGCAGTTAAAACAAACAGATGGGAGAACAGAAGGGGAACCACGGGAAAAGGCAAAATTAGACTTAGACAGGAGGAGAAGGTAAAACATTAAAAAGCTCTCACGAACAAGGGCTCTTGTGCACAGTCCACGCACAGGAACACAGCCACTGCACAAACAGAAGTTCCATAAAAGGGGAAGATCACAAATCAGGAGGAAAAGGGGTAACACCTCAAATTGCCAAAACAGTTTAAGTGTTTAATTAGTTTTCAATCTAGTCACAAGATCAGAAGTTTCAAAACATTTAGTTTTAATGCAATTAAAAACTGCATTAAAATGCAATATTCTGCATTATATTGCAATAATATAATTATTATTATAATTATATAATAATGCAATAGTTAAGACATTATTAACAAGGTAGAAAGATTTTCCTTTTAAATATATTTGGCCTGCTAAGTTAGAAGATGCTGTGTTACAATTCATTAGGAGAAGGAACAGTTGCTGTTGAGTGACTGTTAAATAAGAGCCTGTCAATACAACTTGTCATCAGCTGTCACTTGGTAACATCAAACTGCCAGGAATAAGGTGAGCGTACAGAAGGCTGAGACCTGAAGCCTCTGCTCCTCAGTGCTGGCACCCGAGGAGCTCCCAGGTAAAACAGGACAGCAAATGCTAAGAGTGAAGACAGCACAGCAGGAATTGCACCCAGCGATGGGAGCATTTGGAAGCATATCATAAGAGGGAAGATAAGATTAAAAAAAATAAATAAATAAAGCCTGAAGGGGAAAAAACAAAACAAAACAAAACAATCTTACCTCCCCAAAAAACCTCTTTTCCTACGCAGACTGATCACAAAAGAAGCCACACAGCAGACCACATTTTGGCTCTTCACAGAACATACTACCACATAACCAGAGGCTCGTGTGTTGCAGAGCATCTGCTGCAAACATGACATTTGGAAAACATTGATCTATTTACTCTGCACACAGGCCAGAGTGCAGGTCGTGCCCTGGTCTCGCCATGTCCCCTTGTGAGCTCTCGGTACTCAAAGGTCAGTTTTATCAGCATCTGACAGCTCCATGTTCCTGCTCCCAGCTACGGGCCGTGGCTCTTTTGGCAGAGCTAAGCAAGCAGCTGCTGCTTTCAGGGGTGGCTGCACCACACTGCTGCAACTGGCAGAGCTCTGCACCTGGAGGACAACCCTGGCAGTGGCTTCTGCAAGATGCCAGGAAAGCACTGATTGATATCCACCTCTGGCGAGGATCTTCTGCTCAAAAGAGAATGCAGGTCTGGATAAAGAAGCCCTACAGAAGCCAGAGCTTATTTAGACAATGCTAATTGTAAGCATGACATACATAAGCAGCCTGGATATTCTGAAGAGTAGTTGTTCAGAAAACACCCTATAACTAAAGGCAGATAATTGTTACTTCTGAGGCCCCTTTTTCCTACCTACCTGCAGGACTTTTTTTGCTTTTCAACTTATTCCAAAAGTCTCAGCTTACCACAGCACGCCAGGATGACTCACAGCGTTTAGAGCACCCTCAACCCTTACCTACTTTCACAAGACTATGCCAAACCTGTTCTAATGTAAGGCTCTAGCTGCTGCACGCTCAAACAGGGACAAAAACAGCCTTTCAATTAAAGGCCAGGCATCGACTAACCTGCAGCTCCCCAGTCCAGCAGCTGCCGTACCCATCCCACTCAGCTTGGTACCAGCAGGGCGCTGCCCCGTGGTGCTCCACATGCAACCTCCTGCCCCGGCACCGCCTTGGCTGCAAAGCAGAGAGACTTTTTTTTTTTTCCAGGGTTAATTAGCCAAGCTCTCTCTTTTGATTATTTTCGGTCAGGCTCTGAAAACACTTACAAGATCAATGCTTTCAAAGCTCATGTGAAGTCTGATGTGACACTAAACCACTGCTCCTGAACTCCCATACCAATGTACTGATACTGTTATGTCCTCTAAATTATCTGTATCCATCTAGAACGCAAACCTTGGCAAAACTACATGGCATGAAGTGCAAGCACATTATTACACTGAATCACCATGACAGCCTAAAAAATTGATTTGATTAAAATAGCATGTCTCCATAAATAATCAATAGCATTCTTCAAAGCCTGCCCCAATAGAATCACTTTATTTATGTGATATGGCACATCAAAATGACACACCACTGAAATACAAGCAAACAAAAGTGGTCGCAATGAAACAGCGAAGAGAAATAATGCTGTCTTCCTTTTCTGGAGTCACTAAGTCTGAACCTAACTATACACTGAAGACAGATACAAGTGTATTTTGTTGCACACTTACACAGCCTACCAGGGAAAGCAAAAAGCCTACAGACATAAAGTTGATTTGGAGTAACATTCAGAGATCGCTTCAGAAAAACTCATGGAAGAACACAGGGACCCACTTAATAGTATGATGCCTCTATACTGCAGAAGACTACAATCAACTTGAGAGTTTTTTATATTGTAATTGTTTTTTAATGTATCTTTTATCTTTCTTCTACATCTGCAGTTTATTTTCCAACACAAGCCCTGTTTTGAAGGAATCCAAAATGAAGGTGACAGCTCCAGACACAATTATAATGAAGACTGCTGCCTTTATTTTCACGTTAATGAGTGATGTTCCATCAATTATTCCCCAGTCATTTGGCAGCTGACTACCAGGCAGTATATTTGTCATCTACTAATTGCCTGAACATTGGATTTCTGGTTCATTCAGACAGCTGAAGAACTTCATGCTCTTAAATAAGAAGCTGCAAAAAATATCTGAGTAAGCAAGCGGCACAAGCCAAACCTTTTCTTTGGTGATTCAGAGGACTATTTTCTGTTGCTGTTGCTTTTGGTTTTTCATTTTGTCCTGGAAAAATGAAAAATAGTGGCTGGTATCTTGTGGTTATGACCAAATCCACCACTGCTACAAATATCTAGGAAAAGCAATAGAGGAGAGAAGGAACAGGACACTCAGCAGAACCAATGCTGAGGTCAGCACAACCTGCTTAGCTTTTCGTGCTTGTAATGGTCACATTGAGGAAACCCTCACAAAATCCCTGTAGTTAACTGTAACTTCAGCAATTTAAACTGGACTTACTATTCCTGCACCACTGACATTGCATTTTGCACAGCATCATGAAGGAACAAAGCTAGCATCTGCAATATTGTTAATCATAATCCTTCATTTCCTACCAGGAAAAAACAACAACAACAAAACAGGTATTCAAGTTTTTAAAAGCATTTATGAGAAATTGGTTGCATCATTTGTCATCATTAATAAAATTAAGTAAAACCTGCTTGGTAATGTTACTCATGTTAGCCCACCTCATGACTCAAACTGGAAGTAAGCAACCGCAGAAAACACAGAATTTGCGGAGAGTACAAACAGGTCAGCAGCCTGCTGAGCCCTAATAGAAAATAAAAGAGAAGGAAAGACAGGATAAAAAAAGCAACATGTACTACTCCAAAACAGAAAGGAGTGTATTGAACACAGCTACATTTTAATATGTACAGAGTAATTGTTACCTATGAAATGTTTTCAAGATTTTATTTTTGAGCTGCTTAACATTTTAGCTACTGTTTCAGTTACTCAAGTTTAACATTTTCTGGTATTTAGAAAATTAAAATATCTACATCTAAAGTTCTCTTTTCTCCTATTCCAAGTGTCTTCCTTAACTATTCAGTTCTAAAATTCTCCTGCTGACACATCTGGTCGTGAGATTCTCGAAAGCTATTGAAAAAGGCACAGCGGCACTGCCCAGTCTGTCAGAGCAGCCAACACAAGCTCTCACTTCATTAAAGCAAAAGGATCAAACAGAGCTCTTACTCCAATAAGTTTTGTCCCTCTATATAGAACTCATTATTTTCACTGTGTAAGTAAATCTGCGTCAGTTTCAAAGCCTTCCCTTTGCTATAGAACCAAGATACAGGTGGTCCACTGAAAAACTCCATCACTTCAAGCATCTAAAAGCTCAGCTGGAAGAGATTTAGAACTAACAGAGCAGTAGCAAGCATCTGAAAACAAGAAGCAGGTGGTAGGTCAGCCCAAGGAATCGAGATTTCAAATCTCCAAAATCCTAGGTGTGATACACTACTTCCACTGCTCAGCTCCAAAGGTTGAAAGACTGAAGGAAGCTGGGACTGCCACAATAACTATGTTTGATGAGGCTGAAAATACTGCTTCAAGGGCCTCTCTCCCAGTGGTTCAACTGGTATTAACGAGTTAGAGGGAAAGCTTGAGGGGTGAGGGAAAGGCAGAAGAATGATGCTTTTCTGAGGGGAAGAAATCACTTTAACTGGTTAATGAGAGATACAGTTATCTTTGTGCACAAATTTGTTTAGAAAAAATAATTTGGCTACTGTGTTTTAAGCATTAAAAAAGTGGAAAAGTGGGGAAGGAGAGAAGGAAGGATGGAACAATAAGTAACTTAAAGACAACAATCCATCATCACCATAAAGAAATATCTCAGGAAACCCCAGGCTGTCTCACGTCAAAAAGAACCTGTAGGTTTCATTAAGATGAAGAGACTGCTCCATATGCTCCTATGTGAATGTGATCTTTTGTCTGTCTAAAGTCACCCCAAAGCCGCTCCTCAAAACCTTCTCCCTCAGGGTTTTCTGTTTCAGGGTAAACCCGTTGGCAGAGCTGGGGCTGAGAACAAAGTTATTCACCATATATATACCACTCACCACATATATATGTGGTTATTCACCATATATATGGCCGTATTCATATATATTCACCATATATATATGGCTGGATTCTCCATTCCTTGCAGTTGGGGCTGGAAGAAAGAAACAGGGGGCTGGGGAGCGGGATGCATGATGAAAAAGTGGGAAGAAAATAGAACAGATTTCTTTCTTTAAAGAAAAAAAGTATATATTTTTTTGGCTGATTTCCTACACTGCACATTCTTCCCCTTCGAAATAACCACCACTTAGCCAGTAACTTTGAGAACCAAACATTCAGGTTGAACCAATATCAACTTCAAATACCAAGGTTTTGTTTTGTTTTTCAATAGAATACTCAGGTTATATTAAAAAAAAAAAAAAAAAAAAAAAAAAAAAAGCTGGATTAGGAGAGAAAAAAAGATGCTGTAACAGGACTGGCTAAGAAGTGAAAGAGACATAAAACTAATTTTTGTTGCAAGTTTCAGAAAGTTCACCAGACATGGTGTCACAATATCCCAACTAGTGATGGAGCAACAGGAGACATCAAGCTGTAGGCAGGCAGGTTTCAGCAGTTCTGGTTCCCACAGTCCCACAGAAGCATTTATCATGAAGTATCTTAATATTTTTATGAAGCCACAGAACCACATAAACATAACTAACTCATCATTGGTACAATGCCAGCCTAAAGGGTAGTTTGTTAGACAGAAAAGCATATTCCCAAAAGCTGTTTATGTCAAAGAAAAAAAAGTCACAGACTTCAAAGACACCCTGTATGCCACTGGATTTTATAATCGAGAAGAGTTGCTTTGCATTCAAAGTGATGAAGGGACTAGCAATTTGATTACACCTTGTAGATAATCCCCTGCTCTCAAAACAAAAGGTCCACTGGACTCTCAAATCTTAGCTTTTAAACCCCAAGGTACACAAGCAGGTAACAATGAACATCTTATACAGCATCTCCAAACCTGTCTCAAAACTTTCAGACTGGAGCAGGACTGTCACACAGTTTTCTGCCACAAATTCTGGGAATGCAGTTTTTGGGTTACAGCCAGAGTACATCCTTGAAAGGGTGGTTTCCAGCCTTTCAGTTCTGTCCTACTCAAATCACCAGCGTGAGTTCCCTACAGGTGCAAGCAGAACAAGTTTTCCGTATAGCTTAACTTTGCATTTAATTTCTGATGGTCCAAGTCCTTTAGAATTCGTTTGTTTTATTTAAACTTGAACCTCCAAGTTGATGAAAATTTTAAAACTGAATATAAACACAGCCATGCAGAGACTTCTACATTCAAGTTC